CCCACATGAGCTGCAGCCGCTCCAGGTGCCGCTTGTGCATGGAGTTGGGCAGGAAGAAGTTGAGGGGGAAGGGGATGGTCTCCGCGTACCATTTCCGCGTGTGCTCCACGTAGTTCTTCGCATCCACCCAGAACGTGTGGATCTGCGGTGGAGAACAACCCGCGGCCCGGCCACGGCGGGGCTGCAGCCAGGGGGCCGGCACACCAGAGCCCCTGCCACCAGCACAGCCACCCCAGAGACCACGAGGGGCTGTGGGAGCATCCTGGTGCAGGGAAGACTCCAGCCCTGGCTGCACAACCCACCCCTGATCCCTGCCACGCCAGACCCCCAGAATGTTGCTGCCAGCAGCGCTCTCCGGCTCCTCAGTGAGGTGGGCGCACACCTGAGCCCACCAGCACGTCTCCAGGGAGCAGACCCTGCCCTCGGTGAGCCCCCCTTCCCCACGGTTTCCCCCTGAGCCTCACCAGCACCGGCAGCAGCTTCTCCTCCAGCAGGGACACGAAGGCCAGCGTGTCTGCGTTCTGCGTGGCCGACAGGTCGTAGTCGGCGTTGTACTTCTGCAGAGGAGACACCACGTGCTGAATCCTGCCAGACAGAGGGGCTCTGGTGCCCCCCAGCCCGAGGCAGGGGGTGCTCCACTCCCCCCATACCTGTTTCCTGAGGTGAGTTATGATCTGCTGCGTTTTGGAGATGGTGCCCTCGTCCCGCGTCCGCAGCGCGGGCAGGTGCCCTGTGGGCAGGGGGAGCGGGGGCTGCAGGCGCCGTGCCTGGGGGGCACCCTGGGTGGGCAAAGGGTTGGGGGGGGAGGGCTGGGACAAGGGGAAGGGCCCCCACGCCCAGGTGAGGGGTGGGAGGCAGAGGGAGAAGTGCGTGTAAGGTGGGGTGGGGGGCACAGGGGTGAGGTAACCGTGTGTGATGGAAAATGAGGATGAGGGGGGATGCAGTGGGATGTGGGTGTGGGTGACAGGCAGGGGGGTGTAAAGGGAAAAGGGAGAAGCAATGAGGTGCAATGGGACAGGGTGGGCAAGGGGGCGTGAGGGTGCAGGGGGGGCACAGGAAAAGGGGGTGCTATAGGATAAGGGGGTGCAATGGAGTGTGAGAGTGCAACAGGACAGTCGAGGTACAATGGGACAGGGGTGTGATGGGATGAGGGGGCTGTGCTGGGGTGCAGATGGGTGGAGTGGGAGGGTGCAGAGGGGCCACAGGAAAAGGGGGGTGCTATGAGGGGGATTTGCAATGGGGTGAAGGGGCATCCACAGGGACACAGGTCACAGTGGGATGAGGGTCTGCAAGGGGGTTGTGATGGGATGAGGTGGCTGTGATGGGGCACAGGGGAGTGCAGGGATGCAGGGGGGGACAGGACAAGGGAGTGCAATAAAATGAGAAGGTGCAATGGGGCAGGAGGGTGCAGTGGGGGAGCACTGGACATGAGAGATGCAATGGGGTGGGAGGGGTGACAGGGGCAGGGGGTATAATAGGAAGGGAGGGTGGTGGGACAGGGGTGTTATGGGATGAAGGGGGTAATGGGGTACACTGGGGTGCAATGGGGTGAGAGGGTGCAGTGGTGTGGGAGAGGGATATAGGACAAGGGGTGTTCTATTGGATGAGGGGGTGCAATGGGGTGGGGTGGGGGCAGCGGGATGGGGGGCCACAGGACACGAGGAATGCCGTGGGATAGGAGGGTGTGATGGAATGAGGAGGGTGTGTGATATGCGGGAGGCTGCAGCGGTGCGGAGCAGCAGGGGCAACGGGGTGGGGGGCGGTCCCCGGCGGTGCCGGCACCGGGTGGTCCCGGTGGTACCGGTGCCGGTATCCCCCGCGGGGCCCTTACCGGAGGGGCTCCTCCAGGGGTGGGTGACCCGGTGCACCTTCAGCGGCGCCCCCGTGAACCGCGCGTAGGTCTGCGGGAGGGAGCGGCGGAGCAGGGGCTCAGCCCGCGGGACCCCGGCCCGGCCCGCCACCGGCCCCGCCGCCCCGGCCCCGCCGCTCACCAGCACGGCCAGGCAGTCGGGGTCCACCGAGGGCAGCCCCCAGCCCCCGGCCCAGCAGAACAGCTCCATGGGCGCCGCCATCTTCCGCCGACCCGGAACCGGACGGGCGGCCCCGCACCGCCCCCGCCGCGGGGCGGCACCGGCGGCACCGCACGGGGCGCTCCGCCACGCACCGGAGTACAAGGACGGCGGTGCCTGGGATCCCCGAGCCCGCACCGCTCAGCTCAGCTGCACACTGCTCGGCCCCGCACCTCCCCGCAGCGCTCAGCTCAGCTGCACACTGCTCGGCCCCGCACCGCTCCGCCCTGCTCAGCCCCGCGCCTCCCCGCACTGCACTGCATAGTCCTGCTCAGCCCCGCACCGCTCCACGCTGCCCAGCCCCGCACCTTCCCGCAACACACTGCTCCGGGACTGCTCCACCCTGCTCGGCCCCGCACTTCCACACACTGCACAACACAGTCCTGCTCAACCCCGCACCTCCCCGCGTTGTCCCGCACCTCTCGGCTCAGCTCAGCTCCACGCTGCTCACCCTGCTCAGCCTCGCACCTCCCCGCTCCACGCTGCTCAGCTCCGCACCGCACCGCACAGCTGTGCCCCGCACTGCCTCGCAGGGCCCAGCACCTCCCTGGTCGGCCCCGCACCACGTAGCCACGCACCTCCCGCACCACAGAGCCCCGCATCGCTGGACCGCGCTCAGCCCCGCACCCCCTTGCGCGTCTCCACGGACCGCAGCCGGGCCGGGAGCCCGCTGGCAGCGGTGGAGGGAAAACGCCCCGCGTGTGGTTCGGAACCGCCCCCCTCCATCACTGCCACCCCCCCTCCCCCGTTACGCGGGGCCGCTGGCGCGGGGCCGGACCGGGGGCGCGGGGCTGGGGCGGCCCCGGGGCCGGGCCCGGCCCGTTGTTATGGCACTGGGGGAAACAGCTGTAAACACGCCTTGGCCGGGGCTCCGCGGGAGCGGTTCGGCGGCCCGAGCATCCCCCGGCGGTACGGACCGGCCCGGGGGCTCCGCGGCGTGGGACAACCCCGGACAAGCGACCCCGGGGCCGGTCCCGCTCTCCCAGGCCGGGATGCTCCAGCGCTGCTGGGGCGGCCCCCGCCCGCCTGACCTCCCGGTGAACCGGCGCTGCGAGCGGGGGCTGCCCCGGGGGCGGGCAGTGCCCGGTGTGGGGGGGCTCCCCGCAGCCCCGGGCCCGGTGCGCCTCGACCGCCCGCTGCTCCCCTCCCCGTCGCCTCCGGGACCGCGGCCGGTGGCCCGCCGGTGGCCCCGGGATGCGCCCGGTGATTGACGGCTCTTTGTTTCCTCCTCGCCGGCCCCGCCGGCCCCTCCCCCGTGCGCCACCCCGCCCCGCCGCGCTCCGCTCCGCACCGGCGGCACCGGCGGCACCATGGGGGCACCGGGGGGCCCCGCGCTCCTGGCGCTGCTCCTGCTGGGCGCCGCCGCCGCGGCGCGCCCGGGGCTGCAAGGTATAACGGGGGGGCTCGGGGCGGCGGCGGAGTGGTCCCGACAGGGCTGTGGGACGGGCAGCAGTCGGGGGTCGGCGGCAGCAGCAGCAGCAGCTCCTGTCCCGGGGCCGCTGACAGCGGCTCCGCTCGCCTCGGGGGAGCCGGGCAGCGGAGACACGGGGACATTCATCCCCGGGGCGCAGGGCGGCCACCGGTTCCGATGCCGGCTCGGGGCGGCGGGGGGGTCCCTCGTCGAGGGCTGACCGTGGAGCCGGAGCTCCTCTCGGTCTGCACGGAGCAGGCGGGCACTCGTGCGGCTGCGGGACCGAGCTGTCCCCGCTCCAATCTGAGCGCCCCGGGGCCCCGGCCGTCTCTCCGGGGTGTCCCGGTCCGTCTGCCCCTCGTTGGTGCTGGGCGCGGGGGGTTCCACGGAGCGGGATGCGGGGGAACCCCGGCTGCGGGGCGGGCTCGGGGCCGTGACTCCGCCGGTGCCGGCGGTGCAGGGGCTCCGCGGGTCCCTCTCGGCGGCGCGGCCGGTCCTGGAGCGCCACCGCGCGGGGGCGGCCCCGGAGCCCCCGGGGCTTCCCCGGTCCCCCCGGGGAACGGCGGTCCAGGGTCACCCTCAACCCCCCCCACCCTCGGTGTGACCGCACCGGGAATCCCCGCGGTCAGCGGCCGCAGCTGCGGCTGCCGGTGCGGAGGCGACCCTGGTGCTCGACTCCCGCAGTCATTGACCTGCTGCTGGTGAGCGAGGCGCGGCAGATGGCCAGCGTGGCCCACAAGATCCGCATGGAGCTCCTGACCGTCAACGACGTGTACCTCCTGTCCACCTTCCGCCTGCCCCCCAAGCAGGGCGGGACCCTCTTCGGCCTCTACTCCAAGAAGGACAACACGCGGTGGCTCGAGGTCTCGGTCGTGGGGAAGATCAACAAAGGTGCGTGGATGCCCCGTGCGTGGGGACGGGCTGGCCCTGCTCCTGCCCCGGTGCTCTGAGGGAAACAGGACTGAGTTCCTGCCGTCCAAGGGGCTCAGGGGGAGGAGCAGTGGGTGCCTGCTGGTCCCAGGGTGCTGCCGGTGCTGGAGGGGAGCTGACGGCCCCTCCCTCCTCCTCCGCAGTCCTGGTGCGGTACCTGCGGGAGGACAACAAGGTGCACTCGGTCAACCTGCAGCACGCGCACGTGGCGGACGGGCAGAGCCACTCCGTCATCGTGCGCCTCAGCGGGCTGCGCAGGGACATGCTGAGCGTGGAGCTCTACGTCGACTGCAAGCAGACGGACTCCAGCGTGGGGCTGCCCGAGCTGTCCGAGATCCCCCTGGCCGAGGTGGAGGCCATCGAGGTGCGCACGGGGCAGAAGGCCTACCAGAGGATGCAGGTGAGTGCTGGGGGGGTGCTGAGACCCCCACCACCATGCCCTTGGGGATGGGGAGAGTCCCCCCGCACTGACTGCGTCTCCCCACGTACATCAGGGGTTCGTGGAGTCCATGAAGCTGATCCTGGGGGGGTCCATGAGCCGCGTGGGGGCCCTGAGCGAGTGCCCTTTCCAAGGAGATGAGTCCATTCACAGTGCAGGTAATGGCTTGGGGGCTTAAAGGGTTACCTGTGCTCCTGCCTCTCCTGGCCCAGGGTCCCTACACAGGTGGGAGCTCCAGTGCTGCTCACGTGCTGACCAGGAGTGGCTGTGTGAGGTGATGCTGCTTGGTTGTGACGGCAGCATTTGGTAACTTCTCATCTCTCTCCTTGCAGTGACGAGCGTGCTGGCCTCCATCCTGGGTGAGTCCCTGCTCTGCTTCCCCCATTCCCTGGCTTGAGGCATTTGGGGCTCCACAGAGGCAGAAACCCTTCCACAGGCTGTCCCAGTGCCCCACATGGGGTACATCAAAAGGCATGGGTTGTGTTATGAGGAAAGGGATCCTGTGTGAACCAGGGAGGAGAAGAGCAGTCTGTCAGTTGCCTCGTCCTCCCAGATCAGTGCTGGTGGGCAGAGCAGTCCCTGGGGGCTGTGTCTGTCCTGGGATTGACCTTGTCCTTTCTGCTGCTGGCAGGTGAGCAGACCAAGGCACTGGTCACACAGCTGACCCTCTTCAACCGGGTCCTGACCGAGCTGCGGGAAGACATTAGGGACCAGGTGGGACAGTGTGGGGGTAGCAGCCCTCCCTAGGCCAGATTTCCCTAGAGCATGGTGCCAGCATCCCCTGATCCTCCATGCTCTGCTGCCTTGCAGGTGAAGGAGATGTCTCTGATCCGCAACACCATCATGGAGTGCCAGGTCTGCGGTGAGTGCTCTGCTCTGCGAGGCTCTGCCCCCACCCTGGGGTGGGGACACAAAGGGCTGCCTTGTCTCACCCCTCACCTGCCTGTCCTCCCTTCTCAGGCTTCCACGAGCACCGGTCCCGCTGCAACCCCAACCCCTGCTTCAGCGGGGTGGACTGCATGGAGACGTACGAGTACCCCGGGTACCGCTGCGGGCCCTGCCCACCGGGGCTGGAGGGCAACGGCACGCACTGCGCCGACATCGAGGAGGTGGGCACACTGCTGGGGAGACCAGCAGCCCCAGCACTGCCAGGGCAGTGCAGCCAGAGGATGCTTCCTCTCAGGAAAGGCCCTGCTGGGATGGCCACCCTGATGCCGTGCCCGAGGGTGAAGCCGGTCTCTCTTCCCGCTGCTGCAGTGTGCCCATGCCAACCCCTGCTTCCCTGGCTCCAAGTGCATCAACACGTCCCCTGGGTTCCGCTGTGAGCCTTGTCCCCGGGGCTATCGAGGCAACACGGTCTCTGGTGTGGGGGTGGACTATGCCAAGGCCAGCAAGCAGGTGAGTGAGGTGCCACAGGACTCAACCGGGTCCCTGTGGGTGCTCCAGACTGTGGGGCAGGGTGGAGGATGCAGCGCCTGCGAGGAGAGCAACTTCCCAGGGGAGACAAGAATGGGCAGGGGAAAGCCCCAGGTGAGGGTTTCTCCCCCACTGCTCGCAGGTTTGCACGGATATCGATGAATGCAACGACGGGAACAACGGGGGCTGCGACCCCAACTCCATCTGCACCAACACGCTGGTGAGCAGCGCTGTCCCGCTCCCTCCCTGGATCCCGGGGCCACCTGGCTCCCCTCATCCCACTCCTGCCCTCTCTCCCCTCCAGGGCTCCTTCAAGTGCGGTCCCTGCAAGTCGGGCTTTGTGGGGAACCAAACGTCGGGCTGCGTCCCCCAAAGGTCCTGCAGCACCGCCACCACCAACCCCTGCGACGTCAACGGCTTCTGCTTGTTCGAGAGGAACGGGGAGATCTCCTGCGCGGTGAGCGGGGCACAGGGGTGGGAGGGGGTGTGGGGGTTATGACAGGGACAGCACTGGTCCTGCCAGGGCCCTTCCCAGCCCCTGACCTCTTCTTTCTTCAGTGCAACGTGGGCTGGGCTGGCAATGGCAACGTGTGTGGGCCAGACACGGACCTGGACGGTTACCCGGATGAGCCCCTGCCCTGCATCGACAACAACAAGCACTGCAAGCAGGTGGGCTCCTGGAGGGGGCACAGGGGGTGTGGGGTGCGGGGGCCACAGCAGGGCTGTGCTCCAGAGCCTCATCTCCTCCCCTTCCCTGCAGGACAATTGCCGCCTGACACCCAATTCTGGGCAGGAGGATGCCGACAATGATGGCATTGGGGACCAGTGTGATGACGATGCTGATGGCGATGGCGTCAAGAACGTGGAGGTGGCTGTGCTAGGGGGGTGGCTGTGCTGGTGGCTCTGGGAGGGCTTCTCCTTTTGGCTCAGTCCTGAGTCCCTCAGGATGCTTCTCTTGGGGAGCAGCAGGCTGTTGGCTCGGCATGCTGGAGACATCCTCCTACCCTGACCACCGGGGGACTGTGGCCTCTTGCCTGCAAGCCACTGCAGCACCAGCATCCCTGTCCTCTTCCCCACAGGACAACTGCCGGCTCTTTCCCAACAAAGACCAGCAGAACTCAGACACCGACTCCTTTGGGGATGCCTGTGACAACTGCCCCAACGTGCCCAACAACGACCAGCGGGACACGGACAGCAACGGCGAGGGGGACGCTTGTGACAACGACATCGACGGGGATGGTGAGTGGCTATGGGGGTGGCCTGGTTGTGCCAGGAGGGCTGTCCCAGTGGAGTTGGGGGAGGGCATCCACCACCCAGCACTGTCCTTGCAGGGATTCCCAACATGCTGGATAACTGCCCCAAGGTGCCCAACCCTCTGCAGACGGACCGGGATGAGGATGGTGTTGGGGACGCCTGCGACAGTTGCCCTGAAATGAGCAACCCCACTCAGGTATGGCCAGGGCCAGGCTGGGGCAGGGGGCCTGAGGCAAGTGGGGCCCTGCCCAGTGGGGAGCAGGGGGTCCTTCTCGCCCTGGGGTGTCACTGAACTAGGGCTCTGGTCTCCTCCAGACAGATATGGACAGTGACCTGGTAGGAGACATCTGTGACACCAATGAGGACAGGTGGGGACGGCATTGCCATGGGGTCACCTCCCTGTCCTGTCCTGTCCTGTTCTGTCCCTGGGGGCAGAACTGGTTCAGGACCTGGCAGGGGGATGACAGGGTCTTAAGGGCTCTGGGATGTAGTGCCAGGTCCTCAGTTTTGGCACTGCTCTGACCTTGTTCTTGCTCCCAGCGACGGGGACGGGCATCAGGACACCAAAGACAACTGCGCCGAGATCCCCAACAGCTCCCAGCTGGACTCAGACAACGATGGGCTGGGGGATGACTGTGACAATGACGATGACAACGATGGCATCCCGGACTATGTGCCACCCGGCCCAGACAACTGCCGCCTCATTCCCAACCCCAACCAGAAGGACTCGGACGGTGAGTGCACGTTGGGCGAGGGGAGGCAGAGCCACGTGGGCTCAGCCTGGCCCTGACTGGGCACATGTCCCCAGGGAATGGCGTGGGCGACGTCTGCGAGGAGGACTTCGACAATGACACCGTGGTGGACCAGCTGGACGTGTGCCCCGAGAGCGCCGAGGTGACGCTCACCGACTTCCGCGCCTACCAGACCGTCATCCTCGACCCCGAGGGGGATGCCCAGATCGACCCCAACTGGGTTGTCCTCAACCAGGTGTGGGTGCTGTGCCCCGTGTTTCTGGGGGCTGCGCTGCAGGGTGGGAGCTGAGGGAATCAGGAGGTCCCCCGGGGGTGCTGGGGGTGCCCCTCACACAGCTGTCCCCCACAGGGCATGGAGATCGTGCAGACCATGAACAGTGACCCGGGCTTGGCTGTGGGTAAGAGATGCTCACCCACCCACAGGCCCTGGGGGCAGCCCCACTACTCCTGCCCCTCTGCGTGGGGGGGATGAGGGCCGGTTCTTTGCCCCACAGAGGGATGAAGGGTGGGTGGGCTGAGGAATCCCACAGCGTTTCCTCCCCGTAGGCTACACGGCCTTCAACGGGGTGGACTTCGAGGGCACCTTCCACGTCAACACCGTCACTGACGATGACTACGCCGGCTTCATCTTCAGCTACCAGGACAGTGCCAGCTTCTACGTGGTGATGTGGAAGCAGACGGAGCAGACGTACTGGCAGGCCACCCCTTTCCGTGCCGTGGCCGAGCCAGGGCTGCAGCTCAAGGTGGGTGCTGGCCCCGCCATGGGCCAGGTCAGGCCCCCCAACCCCACCTCCCACCAGGTCCCCCCTAACTCTCCCTGTGCCCCCCAGGCAGTGAAGTCCTCGACGGGTCCCGGGGAGCACCTTCGCAACGCGCTGTGGCACACGGGCAACACACCCGACCATGTCCGCCTGCTCTGGAAGGATCCCCGGAATGTTGGCTGGAGGGACAAGACGTCCTACCGCTGGCAGCTGGCACACAGGCCCCAGGTGGGCTACATCAGGTGAGTAGGGGGGGCACCGGCACTGCTGAGGTGGTGGGGGGTGTGCTCACCACGGGGCATGGTGGGGTCCAGCCCTAGGGGGACCACAGCAGTGGGGGAATGCTGATCACTGGGCGGAAAACAATCCCGGTGTGGTCCAGCCCTGGTGAGGACAATGATGACCATCAGTCAGGGTCCTGCCCTGTGCGACCACCCTAGTGAAAGGGTGCCATGGGGGGAGGGATCCAGCCCCCTGGGACCACCGCAGCGGAGGGATGCCGACCGCGGGGAGGGGTCCTGGCTGGTGAGGCCGCGGGAGCGTTTCCCCTTTAAGGCTCCCGCCGGGGCGGCCGCGGCGGGGGGGCTCCGCCGCCGGGCCCTCCGCCCCCCGGGCCCCCGGGGCCATTGTCCCGTCGCCATGGCGACCCCGCCGGCGCCTTTCACATGCAAAGTGCCCGACAAAGGCGGAGGGGCCGGGCCGGGGGCGGCGCGGGGGGCTCCAGCCTGGCCACGGCGGGGGGCCCCAGCCCAGGGGTCCAGCCCGGCCTGGCGCCCCCGGCCCGGCCCCCTGCGGGATAACCCGACCCTAGCCCGGTGCAGCCATCGCAGATCGGGATGCCCGGTAGGGCCCCGTACTGGTCCTGGCGGGGTCCCAGGGGGGTCCTGGCGGGGTCCAGGTGCTGGCCCCGATGGGGGTCTCGATGGGATCCCGATGCTGACCCCGGTGGGGTCCCGCTGACCGGTCGGGCCCCATTCCCCCCGCAGGGTCCGTCTGTACGAGGGCCCGCAGCTGGTGGCCGACTCCGGGGTGATCATCGACACCACGATGCGCGGGGGGCGGCTGGGGGTCTTCTGCTTCTCCCAGGAGAACATCATCTGGTCCAACCTGCAGTACCGCTGCAACGGTGAGCAGGGCCCCCCGGGACCCCCGCCCCGGCCCGGCGGCCGGCCGAGCATCCCCTCCCTCGCCCCTGCGGCGGCGGTCGGGTCGCCGGTCCTGTGCCGGGGGCTTTACCGGGGCTTGCTCTCCCCGCCGCCTCCTGACGCCCCCCGCGCTGCCCCACGCAGACACGATCCCCGCAGACTTCGAGCCCTTCCGCCGGTTCCTGCTGGAGGGACGCGAGTGACCGCGCCCGGCCCGGGCCTCCCCCGCCAGCGGCACCGGGGGCACCCCGGACCCCGCCGCCCCTCCCGGCCGGGACCCGATCCCGGCCCCCCGCGGACTTTGCACTGCCGGTACCGGACCCCCGCGGTGCCGGGGCTTCCCCCGCTCCTGCCCCGGGCGCTCCGGTCCCTGCCCCACGCCTGGCCATAAAGTTTTGAGTGTTTTCTAGCCTGCGCGCCCGGTCCCTGGCGGGGGGGTCCCGGTGCCCCGAGAGGGCTCTGGGTGCTCCCCCCGTGCTCTCGGCTCCGTCCCGCGCCGTCCTCCCGGTGGTCGCGGGGGGGCCGGGTCGGTGCCCGGCCGGTCCCACCGGCGCAGCCCGCGGCGGCGGGAGGCCGGGACGAGTGCAATATTGGTGGGCGAGAGCACAACACTGCACCGCATCCCGGCCCTCCCGCCGTCCCGGAGGGAGCGGGAGCCGCGGCCGCCGCCGCCCGGGGCCGCTCCGTGGGAACTGCGCGGCGCGCACCGCGGCTCGGCGGCACGGACCGGTCGCCACGGCGACGGCTGTCCCGGCAACGCGGCGGAATGTGCCCCCACCGCCCCCCCGCTCGCCCCGGAGCGCGCGGCCCCGGCACCGGCCCGGCCCCGCGGCGGCGGCGGCGACAATGGGCGCGGTGGCACCGGGCCCCTCTTAAAAGGGCAACGCGGGGCTGCCCGCCGGTGTTGGGGCCGCGACCGGGGCCGGGGCCGGTGCCCGTCCGCGGCCCTGGGGTCCTGGGGCAGGTGACATCACTGCTCGGTACCAAGCGCCTCGTCCCACGCCCCCAGCGAGGAGCGACCGCGGGTCCCGCTACGTTTTTGGTCATTTTCCTTCTCCCTCTCCGGTCCCGCTCCCCTGGTCCGGGTCCAGTCCCGCTCCCACTTCCATTCCCTCTGTGGTTCCGCTCCGCTTCTCCTCCCACCTCTCCCAGTCCCTCTTCCCCTCCGATCTCGCTCCAGTCGCAGTCCTGCTCCCGGTCCCGATCGCGCTCCCTCTCCTGCTCTTGTCTCGCTCCAGTCGTTTTCCCGCTCCCGCTCTGGTCTCACTCCAGTCGCGGTCCCGATCTCGGTCCCGCTCCCGCCCGGCGGTGCCGGTGCGCGGGGCGAGCGTCGTGCGGGGCCATTCCCGCCAGGGGACGCCGAAGCTCCGGCGCCGCCGGTCGGTGCGGGAGCGCGCGCGGGGTGGCCGCGGGGGCGCGCGGGTCGGGACCCCCCGGGCTTGGACCCCACCGAGCGTGGACCGGGTGGGCACACGGGACCCCCGAGGCACGGACAGGGTGGGCACACGGGACCCACGGAGCACAGTGGGGGTGGGTGCACGGGACCCATCGGACACAGCCAGGGTGGCTGCACGGCCCCCTGGCCCAGGGCTGGTGTGTGAGAGGGTTGCCGTGAGATGTGCTGTGGTCCCTGGGACACCTGCCTGCCCCCCCAGCCCCCCACGCGGCGCGTCCTCCGTGCATGGAGGGACACTGTAGCCATCAAGCCCCCCCTTTGGGGGGTGATGGAGGAGCTCTGGGGAGAGCCCTAGTGCTGAGTAGGGCTGAGGATTGGTGCTGGCACAGCGGGCAGAGGGTAGTGGGGAGGGTCAGTGTCACTGCGTGGGGGCTACTGTCCCCACGGCGAGGCCTTTAGGGGAGGGCAAGTTCACACAGAGTTGCTGCCTCCACTCTGCCTGCATCCTGCCCGTGTCCCCGTGCCTGACACCAAAGTTCGGGTCCCCGGAGGGGCCAGAGGGCCACTGGGTCCTGTTGCACCTGCACCGACACCAAGGCCATCCATCCCCAGTGTCACTGCATCACGGAGGGGCCTCCCGTCTCTACTCCCCTTCTCAGCGTTGCCTTGGAACCCTTTGGCATGGCGGGGATGACACTTCGGCTCCACGGGAGGCTGGGCAGGAGCCGGGTGTGGGAGACTCCACCAACACCTCGCCATGAATTGGGGGCCTCCCAGGAATCAGGCCCCCCCACCTGGGACTGGAGCTCTCTTCAGGGCAGGGGAAGGGAGGGACCACAGTGGCTGGTGATGCCTGGCTGTGCCAGGAGCACGTGTCACCCGGAGCACGGGGGCTCTGTGCCCCGGCACGGGCGGCACCCGTTACCTCTAGGGTGGGGCACTTGGCATCAGCCGTGTCCTGAGTGGGGTCAGGGGTTTGTACCTGCTGGAGAGGCCCTGGGACCTGCAGGCTGGTTACTGGGAGGTACTGGGATGTCGTGGGGCCCTTGGCTCCACCTGCGTAAGCATTTCGGGGGGGTAACCGCTGTTTATTTGAGTGTAGGGCGAGGCGATGGCCGGCCGGTAATGATTAACCCTGGGCTGAGCCAGAGGGTGAGGCCCCCCCTTCTCGAAGGGCTGGGGGGCTCCGTGCCCTCCCCCCCCCGGAACTCCCCACCAGGTCCTGGGGGCCGTGGCTCAGCCCACGGGGCTGGGCAGATGCTGCCCCCACCCCTGCCCCGCGATGCCCAGCTACTGTCCCATCCTGTGCCCACCTGAGGCTGTGCCTGTTCACTGCACGGGAACGCTGCCAGTGGTGTCCCCCCGAGCTGGGGGAGCACGGGGGGACCCAACCTGGGTGGGGGGGCGGTGTGATGCTGCTGTGGGGGCCGCATCGGCGCAGTGGCACCCCTGTGCCCAGTGGGGCAGAGGAACCCCCCCGTCCCTGGAGCCGGAGGCGGGGTGGGGCCTCCCCACCTGCTCCAGGTGCTCTATAAAGCTCCGGCCGCCGCCGAGCCGCCAGTTCCGGATCCCTGGATCGAGGCGTGCGCCGCCGGCTAACGGGAGAGAGCAGCCACCGCCCAGCCCCGCCAGGCGCTGGGACCCTCCGGACGAGCCCCATGGCTTTCACTGCCCTTCTGCTGCTGCTGGTGCTGGGCACAGGTGAGGGGCTGGGGCACCCCGGGCCAGGGGGAGCTGGGCTGCGACCCGGGCAAGCAGGGAGGTACCGGGGCAGGGGGAGCTGAACGGGTCTCTTACAGAGTGGGGACCAGGGGACACCAGAGCCGGTGGCACCCCGGTAGCAGGGACCTTGTCTCCTGTCCCAGTCCGGCCCCGGGGTGCAGCGCCACAGGGCTGGTTGTGCCCGGCAAAGCCGGGACTTGGGGGCTCAGACCGCGGCCCCTTCTCTGCCGCATCCGGGGCTGGGCTGTGCCGGGACCAGCCGGAGCAGGCTGTGCCTGGGGCTCGCAGGCTGGAATGCAGGTGTGTCCCGGTGAGCACCCGGACCCCGGGCTCTCCTCCAGTGCCGTCGGCTCCTGCGGCACCCGCTGGGAACCTGCCCGGTAGCTGCCTGTGCTGGCCCACAGGCAGGCCAGGTGGGTGCTGGGGGCACAGGGGCACCCCACCCTGCCACCCACAGCAAAGGAGGCTTTATTGGGGTGGTGCCTGAGCCCCACAGCGTGGTAGGGTCACCGCAGGATCTGGGGGTCTGCAGTGCCCAGGTGGACCCACGGTGGTGTCACACCAGCCACAGTCATGGGATGTTCCTGAAGGTCTCGTTGGCCTCATGGGCAGCAGGAGCCACAGGCTCTTGGCTCGTGGGGGTCACGATGCTTCCTGCAGCATCCAGCTGAGAAGCTGTGTTGGGTAAAACCTTCCCAAATCGGGGCTGCAGCTGCCAACTCCTGGTGTTTCCTCCAGGTACACGTGCCATGCCCATGGAGACAACCGCAGAGATGGAAACGACCGAAACGACCGCCACGGAGATGACCACGGAGACCACCCCCAGAACCTTGACTGTTGCTCCACCTGTCTTCCCCAAAAGCACAGGGGGCAGCAGGCCCTCACCCAGCCTCTTCCCCCACGCCACCGTGTTCCCTGGCAAAAACACCACGGACCTCCAGTCCAGCAACCACTCCTTGGGCAACGGCACCGCAGTGTCCATCCCCTGGCAGCCCAGCCATCTCCCATCCCAATGCCACCTCAAACAGCAGCAGCTGGGCTCCCCACCTGGGCACCAACAGCAGCTCAGCCTCTCCCACCACTGTGGATGGTGGCAACTCCAGCGCCAAAGGCAACGGGAGCACCAGCGGTCAGGCCCCTCCCACCCACACAACCTCTGTGACAGCTCAGGGCAGCACGGCTCACGGGCAGACCCCCACCAGGGAGGGTCCCAACCCCAGCAAAGCCACGGCCCAGCTGCCCGCTGCCATCCAGCTGCTCGCCCGCGTCCCGCTGTCCTTCCGCATCATCAACAGGAGCTTCAACGAGAGCCTGCGTGACCCCACGTCGGAGCAGTACCGCAGCCTGAGCCGCACTGTCCTGGCCGTGGTGAGTCCTGTGAGCTCTGCCTGCGCCAGCAAACGCCCTCCAGGCTGTGCCAGGGAGGAGCCGCCTCACCTTGGGGCTCGCCCTGAGCATCCGCTCTGCCGGAGGCTCCAGCCGGTCCTGCGTGGGGAGGTGACGGAGGGGGTGTCTGTGGGGGAGGTCTCAGTCACCCCAATGCTTTGTTCCAGTTTGAACACGTGTTTGGCTGCGCGGGCTGCATGGGCACACAGACCTACATGGGGTGCAGTGAGCTGCGCTACAGGTGAGCAGCAGCAGTGCCCTGGCACGCGCATCCACCCTGGTGCCCAGCCCCTCGAGGGGTGATCTGGGCACTGACACCTCCTCCCACACAGTCAGGGCTCGGTGAAGGTGCAGTCCACCCTTGTGTTTGGGAATGGCAGCAACACTGTCACCCCTGACGCTGCCGAGCAGCGCCTGAGGAAGAGCCTGGACCAGAGTGGCTTCATCATGGGCCTGCAGCTGGACAGCATCCAGAGTGAGTGGGGGCTCTGGGACAGAGTGGGAGGGTGAATGGAGCCCAGGGTGGGGTCAGAGGGCTCTGCAAATGCTGTCCTGTCCTGTCTGGGGCTGTTTGGTGCTGAAACAAGCTCGGGGCTCACAGCAGGCAGAGCCAATGCAGTTTCCCAGTGCCCATGGCAGGCAGCACTAGGAAGAGCAAGTAGGCTCCATGGAAGAGGGCTCAGCCCCTGATACCCCATGATGGGGGTCTCTCAGGGCTCTCTCAGGCTTTGCCCATGGTGTAGACACAGCTCTGCTCCTTTCAGGCTCCACAGAGGTGGTGATGTCCCCAGAACCGGTGCCCATGGTCCCAGACTGGGCCGTTGCTCTGCTGGTCCTGGTCAGCGTCCTGCTGCTGCTGAGCTTCCTCACCTGCCTCCTCCTGATGGTGAGGTGCCATCCCCGTCCTCATCTGTGTTCAGCCACTGAGTCCCTGTTCCCAAGGCCCTGACCCCTTCTCTGTCCCCCAGTCCTCCTGCACTTGCCGCCGGAAAAGCCGAGGGAAGCTGGACCTGCTCAGCCAGAAGGATTCCTACCACCCCATGGCCGAGTACCTCCAGTACCAGAGCCACGGGCGCTACGTGGCCCCCAACAGCAAACCCAACCCCTACAGCCAGGTGAGAGCGAGACCCCCGTCCCGGGGTCCCAGCTGCTGGGGGGTGGGGGCAGAGCAAGGGTACATCCCCTGGATTCCAGGTTAATGGCTGACGGAGCTGGGACGGGTGTCCAGGGAGCTCATCCCACGCCGGGCTCGCCGGGAGGTGAGCGTAACTTTCACGCCTGGCTGGAGCAGCCGCGTGGGGAGCGGTTGCGCGGCCGGCGCGGGCAGACCCTGCCCGGCTCCGGGGAGCTCCCCGCGACCTTGGGCGGCTGCTCCCCCTGCCCAGCCCCGGCAGCACTGCAGGGCTCGCTGCCTGCCCACGCTGCCCCTTCTCCTGCTCAGCTGCATCCCAACGCGACCCTCGGATCTCTTGGTGTTGCAGCATCCTCTGCCATGGGTGGGGAGCGGGACTGGGAGGGCACTGCAGAGCTGGCGGGGGGGCTGATCCCCATAGCCCGCACCCCAACCCACCCCAGCTTCGAAAATGAAGCTGCAGGTGCCGTGTCGGGAGCTGCCCGCAGGCACAAAGGTCTCCCCTGGGTAACGCGGGGTGCAGAACCCGCCCCGTTCCCCTCCCCTTCCCCCCCGTGTCCTGCGCTCCCCCCAGGCCGGGGCTGCGGGCGGGGGCCGTGTCCAGCTGCTCGGCTCCCTGCGAGCAGCTCACCCTGTGCAAATACCAAGGGGCCTGGGTAAATATTTACCTTCTCGCTCGCCGGGCCGGCTTATCGTGTGAGAACACGGCCGGGGCCAGCGCGGCTCCTCCCGCGCACGGGGCGGGGGGGCTCGGGGTGCCCGTGTGGGCCTGGGGTGCCCACGGTTCCCCCTGGCTGGGGCAGCTGCCCCCCACGCCGTTTTTGGCTGCCCATAGTGGCCGTGGGGAGGGTGTGGGGGGTTTCCCTGCTGCCTCCAGGGGAGGGGGCTCAGCCCAGCCCTGACACCCCCTCACCTTTCCTCCCCACCAAGGTGGCCGGCAGCAGCACCACGAGGGCCGGCACCTTCACCTACACCAACCCTTCCGCCGGCTCCGACAACCTCTGAGGGACACGCTGGGACGGAGGGCGGCTGCCGAGGGAGGGGCAGCTGCAGCCCCCCACTCCCGGGGGAGCAGAGCCGGCCCCGGGCACATCCCCCGGTGCCGCTCGGCCCCTCGCCGCGGGCAGCGGGCGCCGGATGGTTCTGGAGCAGCCGGATTCGCGCACATGACAGAACTGGATGAACAAAGACGGGGGCGGGAGGGAGGGTCCCCCGCACCCCACGGGCCCCGCTTGGCTTTGCAACCCTGCTCCGTGCCGGGGGGAGAGAGGGGGGCGGGCTTATGCTCCCCCCTGTGCTCACCCCCGGGGATTCAACTGCTCTTTTTGTGGTGTTATTTTATATAAATATCTCTGTTTGGGGGGTGTTGGTGCCGGGCTCGGCTCGGCGGGGTGGCAGGTCCTCGGGCGGGGTGTATTTATCACAGTTACAATAAAAGGATGGGGGAAGCCTTGTGTCCCCAGGGCTGTGCTGGAGGGGCTCCCCTTGGGCTGTGACAACCCCAGTGTGGCCGTCACCCACCTTGGGTGGCCCCGGCTTGCGCAGTCACTCTCACTTCTCCATCCTGGGGTTGGTGCGGGGGCTGTCACTGTGTCTCCAGTCCCTGTGTCCCTCTGGGTGCTGGGCCCTATCCCTCTGATCCCTCCTGCACTCTCGGTTTCTGTTCACGATCCAACGTGTCTCGTTTTGACGTTTGACACGTCCCGTTTCCCCACGGCTGCACAGGTGGAATGTGATGGAGCCGACGGGGCCGCGCAGCTGCACGGGCTGTGCGTGTGTCACTGGGTGCACATGGCATGTCCTGCCCCTCCTCCCTCCCCTGCCTGTTCCAGGCTGGGGGTCCTCCAAACCCCTGAGGGAGCCCCAAAAAGGCTCTGGGGGCTGCTGGAAGGAAGAGGTGCATGGCTGGAAGGTGGGATGTGCCGAGGGGTAGCAGGGTGGCCCCAGCATGGCAGTGTGTTGGACCTTGGGAATGCCGTGCCTGGTGGCCCCCTGGCAGTCCCAGTTTGGGCTGGGCCCATCCTGGGCACTTGGGAGGGTTTTGGCAACCGCTGAAAAGGCAGAAAAACAAGGAGCCAAACCTTCCTCTATGAAATCCTGTGTGGGTGCAGGCACGGAGCCAGCACTTGACCAGGAACAGCCCCAGGACCAGCCCAGCAGCCGGGGGACGCCTTGGCCACAGCTCTGGGGGGAAGACACTGCTGTGCCAGGTGCCCAGGAACCCTGGCATGTGCTGGGAGGTGTCAGAGCTGTGCTGGGCTGGGGGTGAGAGGCTGGGGGGCCTCTGGGGAAAGGGAGGCTGCCCAGTGGCCTGAGGCTTGGCTGGGGGTGGAGGGTGCACTGATGGGGGGCTGTGGTACAGCAGAGCAACCCCCCCCCCCAGTCCATGCTGCCAGCTGAGGAGGGGGTTGTGTGCCTGGGGTAGAGCCCTGTGGAAAGCAGGGGGGTACCTGGAGCTGCTGCTGCCCCCCCTCACTCCCCCCACACCTCCAGCCTTGGGCAGGGCCCCAGGAATCGAAACTGGCACCAGGGCTGGGCCCTACAAAGAGCTGCCTGTTTGCAGGGAGCCTGACCCTGCGGCCCCCTCACCTTCAAATAGAGAGGGTGGGGTCCCCAGGGGCAGGCACAAGCCTTGGGGGGCCCTGCCCCATGTGGCTGAGCAGAGCACGGGCAGGACCTGACACGTCAGCACTGCCTGGGCTGGGCAGGATTGGCCCCTGCTGGGCACAGCCTGAAGGACAGCCTGGACCCACAGCACTCCAACCCCACAGATAGCCCAGCCCCACGGTCAGCCTGGCCCCATAGCCCCCCCAGGTCCACAGACAGCCTGACCCCATGGCCTCTGGCTCGATGACCCCATGGTCAACCCAGCCCCACAGCCCCCTGGCCCCATGGACAGCTGACCCCCTGGCCTGCCTGGCCCCCCAGCCACAGCTGCCAGGGAGGCTCCCGAGGAGTCTGGCATCGCAGTTTATTGTAGGAAACCATGAAAATACAGCGATTGTTGTAACAGAACCCAGGAGAAATGACAGCAGCTCGGACAGATCCCGGCACGGGAGCTGCCGGCACGGTCCCCGCGGCGTGCGGGGCTCCCCTGGGCGGGTCGGATCCGGACCCCGCGGCCCCAGCCCGCCCCGGCCGCGTGCGGTTTGGCACCGAGCGGTGTAACGGGAGCCAAGCGTGGCCCTGGGAGCACGTGCAGGCAGGGCACAGGCAGGGCTGGCCAGGCACATGGCTGCCCAAGGACAGGGCAGAGAGGGGGCACCGGGAGGGACCCCTCGGTGGCTGTGTCCGGGGAGGGGCCGTGCCCGGCCGGATGAGCCGCGTTGAAAACGAGCCATTTTACAAAACGTCTTCACACCTTGTTCCAGCCCAGCCTCCCCCCCCGCCCTCTCCCCTACCCCGTCAGCCTCCCCCACCCCAGCCAGCACCCAGCCTCTCCCCTCCACCGTCAACCCCACTGTCACCTGCCTCCCCCCTCCCTGCGCAGCCCCGTCCCCCTCCCTGACCCATCTCGGGCTAACCCTCTGCCAGCCCTGCCCGCAGCCCCAGCCCAGAGCAGCCTCGGGCCGAGCTGGGGCGAGGGGCAGGCGGACAGGGCGAGGAGGGGACGGCAGAGCTGTCCCCGTCCCCCCCCATCCCACAAAACAAACACCTGGCCTGTCCCCAGCAGTGGCAGGGCCGGGGCTGCCCACCCTGTGCTCTGCTCCCTGCCCACGTGTGACCCCCCCGGCCTCGGAGCTCTCGGGGGGCACAGCCTGGGGCACGCGGGGAGCCCGGGCACGGCTCAGTCCAGCTTGGGGAAGCCCCCGATGGTCACTTTCCTCTCCTGCTTGTTGGCCACCAGCTCCTGGAGGTGCAGGGCCCCGCCCCCGATGAAGCAGAAGGCGGGGCAGACGGGCCCCGAGCAGTCCACGCCGCACTCCCAGAGCTCGCGGAAGGACACGGCGTCGTAGAAGCTCACCTTGCCCTGCTCGTAGTCCAGGCAGATGCCGATGCGGGGGGGCAGGGGCACGGTGCAGCCGTTGGGGTCGCGGGAGGTGAGCGCCGAGCCGTGCGACAGCAGGATCTTGCCCATGCCGATGGTGAGGAAGGCGTAGGGGGGAGGCGCCTCCACCGTCGTGTCCTCTGCCCCGCTGTCGTGGCCGCTGTCGGGGTCGTACCTGCGGCAGGAGGACAGGTGAGTCCCGGCACGCCAACGCACACCCCAGTGCCTGGTGTGGAGGCAGGAACAGCCAGAGAACCCCACCCACCCCGACCCCGCTCACCGCCCCGCTCACCTGGGGCTCACCACGTCCTGCGGCACCTGGAACCACTCCTGCAGCTTGCTCTCCAGCCCCACGCCCACCTTCACCAGGTAGGAGCTGGGGTCCACGCAGCAGGCCCAGTAGCTCTTGCCCTGGGTGATGGCCACGTCGCCGATGACCAGGTCGATGGAGAGGTGGCAGCTGGTCATCAGGCGCTCGGCGGCGAAGAGCATGGGGATGCCGGGGACGCTGCGCACCGCGCGCTGGTCCTTGCTGATGGCCAGCCGGTCCCGGTTGAAGCCCCAGCGGTTGTCCAGGAAGAAGTTGAGGACTGCAGGGAGGAGAGGAGGAGGAGGGTGAGCGGGATGATGCACCGGGGCGCTCTGCAGGTGCTCCGATCCCGCCGGTCCCCCCTCACCTGGGGCGGGCGGCGTGTGCAGGTAGATGTCCTCGCTGTACTCCCCGAAGCCCGCCTTGTTGTAGCCCTTCACCCGCAGCACGTAGACGCTGTCGGTGTCCAGGTACTCGACCAGGGCGCAGGTGCCACGCACCTCCTCCCGCCGCTGCCACAACTTCAGCCCCTTGGCCTTGGCGTCGGTCTTGCGGAACTCCACCGTGTAGTGCCAGGCGGGCGGCGAGTGCTGCGGCAGCCGCCAGCACAGGAAGATCTGGTCGTAGGTGTAGGTGCGCTGCGTGTCGATGACGGGGGCCTCGGGCGCTGCGGGGAGAGGCACCGGCGGGCATCAGGCAGCATCCCCCCCCCCGCAGGCGGGGAGGCGGCCGGACGCAGGGACGGGGGCATTCCGGACGGACGGACGGACGCACAACCAGCGGAGTCTAAAGGGGGGTCTGGGCTGCGGAGACCGTGTGTCGGCACCGGAGGAGAGCGAGAGTCGGGGAGACAGAGGAGCTGCTGCTGTGGGGCTCCAGGGACCAGACAGGCCGAGTGCAAGTCGGGAGGGAGGAGAGAGAGAGAAAGAGAGAGAGAAAAAGAGGATGGAGGCAGCGGGAGAGGAGGAGGAGATGGGGATGGCGGGGGGTAGGGGATGGGAATGGAGGGGGAAGGGAATGGGATGAGGAGGGGGGTGGAAAGTGGGCAAAGAGAGGGACAGAAATGGGGTGAGGAAGAGTACAGAAATGGGGTGAGAGTTGGATGGAAATAAGGAGAGGGGGAATACAAATGGGGGGAGGATGGGGCAGAAACGGGGTGGAAATGGGGTGCAGACAGGAAAAGAAATGGGGTGAGAAGGAGATTGAAATGGGGCAAGAAGGGGGGTGGGAATGGAGCAAGGAGAGGGATGGAAACGGAGAGGAAGGGGACAGAAATGGCATGAGAGGGAAAGGGAAATGGGGTGAGGATGGGCCAGAAATGAGGCAAGAATGGGGTGGAAATGGCACAAGAGGGGAACAGAAACGGGGTGAGGAAGAGGATGGAAATGGAGGAAGAGGAGGAAGGAAATGGGATGAGGTGGGGGTGGAAATGGGGCAAGAAGGGGGATGGAAATTGAGCGAGGATGGGAACAGAAATGGGAAGAGGGGGGATGGAAATGGGGCAAGGAATGGAAATAGGGCAAGGAAGGACATGGCAACTGGGTGAAGATGGGGCAGAAATGGGGTGAGGAGAGGAGGAATAGAGCAGGGATGGGGTGGAAATGGGGCAAGTGACAGTGGAAATGAGGTGAGGAGGGGATGGAAATGGGGCATGAGGGGATGAAAATAGGGCAAGGGGGGGATGGATATGGGGCAACGAGGGGGCAGAAATGGGGCAATGAGTGGGCAGAAATGGGGAAACGAGTGGGCAGAAATGGAGCAAGGAGTGGGACTGAAATGGGGTGAGAGGGGGATGGAAATGGGGCGAGGATGGGGATGGAAATGGGGCGAGGAGGGGGTGGGAGGGCAGGAGGAGCGGCGGCAGATGGAGGAGGCAGAGCCACCGGCTGCCAGCGCCTGCGGGCAGGACGGGCATGGAGGATGGTGGCGGAGCAGGGCCAGGGTGGGAAGGGGATGGAGGGATGGAGGGATGGGAAGAGAGAGCGGGGCGGCTCTGGGGCAGGGGTGTGACTTGCCTCAGTTACTTCGGTGACGCCTCGGCAGCGGCCGCAGCCTATAAACAAAGAGAG